ACCTATTCGATATTCTATAATTAAATCAACTAATCGAATATTCGAAAATCGTGACCCATCCCTAATATATATATATATATATATATATATAATAGGGCTGGTCAAGTTAATGCGTTATCGCATTAATTGATTAACGCTGACAATTATTTTATCGCGCATTAATGCAGGTTTTTTTATTTTATTATTATGAAAGTCCGTTGCTCATTGGCTCTGAATACACATACAGACAAACCATGGGTCACAGGAGGGGTGGGATGGGTGTCATCACGCGTCTCAACCAATGAGAGCATTTGGGGAGGGGCTAAGACTGCAGGAGCGCTCACATGGGCCCTGTCCCAAATGGCACCCTAAACCCTTGCAGTCTTTGGGGACACTTTCCTGACGTAATGCCGCTTTGACTGTCGGGTAAAAGTCTGCTGCGGAGCTTGCCCCGGTGCGGGCTCGGCAGAAGTGCGGATCGAGGGCGCATAACGGCTGCAAAGGGGGCGCTCGCTAGCACCCTTCTGAACGCTAAAATGACAAATGGGACACCCTAAGGTCTCCTGGACTTAACGGACACGCGCACGCGGCGGCCATTGTAAGTCCGTAAGACTGCAAGTGCACATGAAGTGTTCCATTTGGGACAGAGCCATGGACACTCCTGATAATATTACTTGGGTTAAGCATCAACATTCACAAAAGCGCTCAGCACAGTGGAGTGCATCGTTTTGTTAACTTTGTGGTTTATTATTTTGAGTCGTTTGGGATGCGAAAATAGCCATATATATATAGAGCTTACAATGCCTAGTTTTAATATGCATAACGTCATCTGCATATCATTTCCATGCTTATTCCATCCACGTGAAACCATGTTTAACACAGTTAAGGGTAGGAAACGTTAGGAAAATGAGATACGGACTATAAATGCGTTTTGAGACGTCACTATTCTAATTTATGCAATTTGCCTAAAAGGTAAATATATATTTTAGAATGTTTATAGCCTATATTTTTATGGAAATAAATTTTTTGCAGTGTAAATAACTGTCTGACTCACCGCATCAATAACAAAACATTTTGAAAATAAAACGCGCATATCTTATAGTTTCCTTCAAATTCTATCTTGGTGTTTGTCACAATATTGGGAAGAGCACGAAAGGGGTTATCATTAGGCTGCTGTCTATGCGAGACACCTGTGAACAGTTCTACTGTCATCGGACCCGTTCAAACCAGCCAATGGACTGTTTGATCAACGAGCGCATCCTTATGTCTGTCGTTACCGCCTATGTTCCAAAGCCATCAGACGAATCACCTTCACATCTATAATCATTATTCGTGCAAAAACGTTTTCTCAGAACATTAGTTTTGCTATTTAGAACACAATTTAAAGCGGAATTGTCATACGCCAAGCAATCCTCGCTGTGATTAAAACATTAAATCACATACCACAGGAAAATTGTTCGAAAGCAGCACATCCACTGCAAATATTTCTGTTAAAATTCATACACAAATGTTGTAATTTCTGCTTAACTTCATTATTCAGAGTGCCATATTTAATCTAAACATGTATGTTAAATGTAAAACAGACTTTAAAATCATTCTGTTTGCTCCATTATTTCGCTGACTCCAGTAAAAGAGAGCGTATGCATGGTCTAGAGCAGAGGTTCTCAACCTTTTGAAACTAAAAACAACCTTTTTACAAAGAAGCACAATTCGCGGTTCAATGTTGGACAGTGCAAGCCTCAGGTCATCCTCCACCTGGAGCCGATTTTGGTACTTTTTCCAAAGCCGTCAACTTTTAAAACCCGGCCTCGCACAGATAAGTTGAGGCGAATGGAAGAAGTAATTTTACGGCGGCGTCAGATAACTGAGGATATTCAAGCTCAACCAAAATGATGGCAGAGAAGAAGAGCTGTAGAGGTGTCGCAATCTAGTGTCGCTCTTTAATTCGACTAACTGCTCCCCCATGTCAACTGGAAGGTCTTTTCCTGGGCAACTGAAGGGATCTCTGACCCAAGCAAATTAACTGAAATCCTCAGTGAAATAACGGCCAAATTGTTGTTTTAGTCCCTCAACATGTTGAGCGACTGTGTTAATCAAAGGAGAGATATTTATCCCTGTCTCCAAAACCATTTGCACCCCCCTTCCGATCTCTCTGTGCGTGGAAAATTGCGTACGCACATTTCCATGCCAATTTGGTGCATCTGCAACGTTTATACATCAGGCCTCTGGTCTAGTCAAGCTCTTTAGGACAGTGGCTCTCCAGGAACTGAGTTTGACACCCCTGCCCTATAAAGTCATAAGAACAATAGACTGCACATATGTTGCAATCATTCACAGCTCTAAAACAACATGAGGCTGGTTTTGTGAATAGAAAGTAGTACATGTGATCTTTCAGTGACATCAATTCTAATTTAAAATAGTCATGAATATATGAATGTATTGATCACAAGCTTGGATGTCAACTGGCCTGGCTCAGTCAGAGTCTGTGTTCTGTCAGTGCTGGAGGAAGGTAAAGTAAGTGGGGAACTGAAAAAATGAGTTAGCATAAATAGCACAGTTTCATTTGAGTAAACTGAAGTTGTTGCAGGGGTTTGAATTATATTTTCTCTTGATCTGCTGCCAATAACACAGAGTTGTTGCAAGGGTTTGGTTAATAGCTTTAAGGTCAAAGTTGACTAAGTTCATGAGCTGCTTCATGGCATCAGCAAAGCCTGATTGTATTGGTTTGGTTTTGTCAAATCAAAACTATTACTGTAACCCTGAATTTGTTCAGCTACCTTCATGCTATAGGTCCTTGAGCAGTTTGCAGTACAATTAGTCTTCTGTCCTAGCCTTTTAATACATTCAGTAAGCCAATCAAGTCTGTCACATTGCTAAACCAGCATATAAACTGTCACAAAAGCAGCCATAAAATTAATTCTAGCTGTTATGAAGTGTACAATAGGCTTCTCAGTAAAAATTCAGATTACTTGCAGATACTGTATAATCTATGTGTGTGGTTCTAAAAAAAACAGAGCTACTTAGTATTTTTATGTTTATATTTTTACTTAAATGTTATGAAGTGCTTTTAACAAATTACCTCATCATTTCACAGATAAATTGCTTTAATACCAATTTTCAGGGTGGCCTAGGACTTGAGTACAGTAGAATACTTCTGCTTTCTGGAAAGCCAAACCAAGTCCTGTCCTGACCCAAGTACAAGCTCTCATTCTAATCCTGAAATTATTGAGGCATCCATTGAAACAAAACATCGAGGCCCAAGTGCAGACTGGAAGGAAATGGAAAGCATTACAGTCAGTACACCAGGCCATAACCCGCCTGAAACACCAGGAATTTGCTGGATTGGTGCAAAATGGCATAACAGGCTTTGGTTGGGTAACATCGTCTAAGATGTGGTCCAAAGCCTCAAAGGCAGAGAGGAAAGAACTGGTTACCTCCGAAGTCGTGAGGGAGGAAGAGGAGGGCTACTAAATCAAAGCCGTGAGCCAATGTCAGCAAAGGAGATAGACAACCTGGGAGGCTGCCATCGACAGAGTCGTGACGTAGGCCGATTTGTGGAGGATGCCTCAGGCAAGGCTGAGCTTCCTAATCAGGGCCACGTATGATACCCTCCCAAGCCCCCAGAATCTAGACCTCTGGTATGGCACAGAGGAGATCTGCCAGTTTTGCGGCCAGCAGAATCCCAATTTACAGCATATTCTGTCTAGCTGCAAAACGGCACTGACCCAAGGACGTTTTGGATGGCGTCACGACCAGGTCCTGCGGAAACTAGCTGAAGTCATCGAGGCACGTAGACTGGAAGCCAACAGGGCAGTAATATCGCATGAACCGATTCAATTTGAGGCAAGGGGGTGAGGCACTAAGCATTACCACAAAGGAGTGGTCCCTGCTGTCACCCGGAGGCAACTGAGAGCTGATATTGATAACCAACTGAAGTTCCCACAGCAGATCACCATAACCTCCCTCTGACCAGACATTGTGCTCTGGTCTACTATCACAAAAACAGTCATTCTACTGACTGTGCCATGGGAGGACAGCCTGGAGTCTGCCTTTTGAGAGGAAGAAGTATGCAGACCTAACAGCTGCATGCACAGAAGCAGGGTGGAGTGCTGTCACCTATCCAGTGGAAGTTGGCTGTCGAGGCTTCACTGGAACCTCCGTCCAATGGCTCCTGAAATCTCTTGGTGTAAGAAGCATCAGGTTTTCAAAGGCATTAAAAGATCTGGCAGAGGAGGCAGAGAAAGGGAGTTTTTGTTCTGGTTACGGAGAAAGGACAAGGCGTGGGAGAGAGAAGGATCCTAGGGCTGGCCACAGGGGGCGGTAGGGAGACGTCCCAACTGCTGCTCCACCACCCGGAGATGTTCTGGGATTAAAGGAGCGAAACATAAACGATGGGTGGCTCCCAGCTGACGACTCTGCAGCCAGCCCTAATGGTACCGTTGGAGGTGCGGCAGGCAGGTATTCCTACCTGTGCTTGCAACTAAAGTCTTTCATTTAAATGGATAACATCACCTGTGTACCTAATTATTGTTTGTCTGATGAGTGCATAATCTCTGAACAAAACAAGGTTTCAATAAGCGCCACCTGCTGGAGATAGCTGTAAATGTAAGCACAATAAAAGCTCATGTTGTTTTCCAAAGACAGATATTGATTAAAATGGTCCATATCTTAAACCTGCATTGATTGCTTACCTCCACTGTAACTGATTTCCCAACACAAATGTTAATGCTTTGATGCTAACTTAAGTTTGAGCACTGTTAAAGCTAGAATGCCCACTAATGTGTTTATTTACAGAAAGGCATGAGTGGAGAAAAATTAGGCAATTTTATTTTTTATAAAATTTTTCATAAAACTGCAATTTAATATATTATTTCTATAGGCTATATGTTACGGGTCCCGTGGCGTGCGGAACACGTAGACAGATTACTAAAAAGAATGTGTGGTGTGGAACCGGAGTTATCAGGAGAAACAAAAAGGACAAGCAATTTTAGTGTCTTTCCTCAGTCGCAGCTCATCTGCATCTGTGTTAAAATTTCTCTGTCATGTTAACAGTATAAAATCAATTCTCTGCAATGTCCTTCTCAAATAGACCATTTAGTTCAATCTCATTTTATCACAAATCATTTTCATTGAATAAAAACACAGTTCTGTACTCCTTTTGTATTTAACACAATCTTCAAATAATTATTTCCTGTATCTTACTCTTTTGTTATAAAACACATTTAATTATTATCCTTTATAATCATCAGCATCTGTAAAATACACTTTAAAATCCCTTCAATAAGCCCTTATGTCTTCTGTGGAAACAGTTTCTATATAACCATTTGAATCTCTGTCACTTCAGTAGTATCTAGTATCATTCAAATTGTAACCATGACACAAGTTATCATATTCCCGTTAACACATACATTTCCCTAAATGTATACATATTTACAATTTCTGAGTCGTCTTGGTGTAAATGATCACATTCTGAGGTACTTTTCTATTTACAATTAGATCGTTGGCCGAAATCATAACAGACCATCTGTTGCTCTACCCAGTGAACTCTCGAAAAACTCGATTAACTTAAAGGGGTCATATGATGCGATTTCAATTTTTCCTTTCTCTTTGGAATGTTACAAGCTCTTGGTGCATAAAGATCTGTAAAGTAGCAAAGACTAAAGTCTCAAATCCAAAGAGAGATTCTTAATAAAAGTTAAGAGTCAACCTAAAACGGCTCGTTCTAACACACCCCCACATGTCTACGTCACGATGTGGGAAGATTTGCATAACGCTGCCCAAATGTTCACACAAAAAAAAGAAGGCGTAACTTTTATTCTCGCTGTAGTATTGTTGCTGCCAAGTTGTCGTGAAGGTGCTGTGCATTTCGTTGTGAAAGTGAAACTACTTTGTTTGGCCTTCCAAAAGAGGACGATATCCGCTTCGTCATGCCTAGAGCTGATCTGTGCTTGTCGGTGAGGAAATACATCAACTTCGTGCTGTGGCTTGCCAGATCGGCTTTCACCGTGGATGAAGCGGAGTCCAGTCCGGGGTCGTCACATGTGGTTGCCGCAAGCCCGCCCGCCACCGCTCACTCTAGCCCTCCGGCCGCCGCTGACTAGTCCGCCGTGTGTTTCGTTATGAAAGCGAAACTACTTTGTTTGGTCTTCCAAAAGAGGACACGACTAGTAGTTAAGTTGTATTTACAACACTGCTCTAGAACAGTTCAACCCAAATATTAGTATGTGTGCAGCACATTTTATGGAGGACTGTTTCCTGATCCTCGAAGAGTAGACTACAATGCCGGCTGTTCTGACTCACAGACTGTAAGTACGTTTTAATTTAAAGGATTTGCCACTGATTATTCAAACGCGAGTTTTGAGCAGTGTAGAGTAGCGCTTGTTTGTCATTTCTCTAATCACAAATGCAGACATGGTTTTATGTCTACGCTGCGCGTTGCAACGCAATGCGTAATAAGACTGTATAAATCATTATAATCCGTAATTATGTCCCCAATGGATGCAACAAATACCTCATTTATAATGGGTTTTAATGTTTTTTAATCGTCGCTCTGGCCGGACAGGGCATCACAGTATGGTAAGGCGCGTAACATTTCCGTCACACGCTTGAGGTATTTGGCCAATCACAATGCACTGGATAGCTGGCCAATCAGAGCACACCTTGCTTTTCAGACCGATGAGCTGTGAGGAAATACATCAACTTCGTGCTGTGGCTTGCCAGATCGGCTTTCACCGTGGATGAAGCGGAGTCCAGTCCGGGGTCGTCACATGTGGTTGCCGCAAGCCCGCCCGCCACCGCTCACTCTAGCCCTCCGGCCGCCGCTGACTAGTCCGCCGTGTGTTTCGTTATGAAAGCGAAACTACTTTGTTTGGTCTTCCAAAAGAGGACACGACTAGTAGTTAAGTTGTATTTACAACACTGCTCTAGAACAGTTCAACCCAAATATTAGTATGTGTGCAGCACATTTTATGGAGGACTGTTTCCTGATCCTCGAAGAGTAGACTACAATGCCGGCTGTTCTGACTCACAGACTGTAAGTACGTTTTAATTTAAAGGATTTGCCACTGATTATTCAAACGCGAGTTTTGAGCAGTGTAGAGTAGCGCTTGTTTGTCATTTCTCTAATCACAAATGCAGACATGGTTTTATGTCTACGCTGCGCGTTGCAACGCAATGCGTAATAAGACTGTATAAATCATTATAATCCGTAATTATGTCCCCAATGGATGCAACAAATACCTCATTTATAATGGGTTTTAATGTTTTTTAATCGTCGCTCTGGCCGGACAGGGCATCACAGTATGGTAAGGCGCGTAACATTTCCGTCACACGCTTGAGGTATTTGGCCAATCACAATGCACTGGATAGCTGGCCAATCAGAGCACACCTTGCTTTTCAGACCGATGAGCTTTGTAAAAATCGACGCATTTCGGAAAGGCGGGGCATAGAAAATAAATAATAATGTACAGTATGTGGAAAATAATGAGGTTTTTTTAACCTTAAACTGCATAAACACATTTAATTACACCAAATACACAGAATAATGTTCTTTCTAGTTGTGGCCTAATGGTTGGAGAGTCGGACTTGTTACCCAAAGGTTGTGGGTTCGAGTCTCAGGTCCAGCAGGAATTGTCGGTGGGGGGAGTGAATAACCAGCGCTCTCATCCACCCTCAATACCACAACTGAGGTGAGACCCTTGAGCAAGGCACCAAACCCCCATCTGCTCCCGGGCACCACAGCAATATGGCTGCCCCCTGCTCCGGGTGTGTGTTCACTGTGTGTGTGTGTGTGTGTGTGTGTGTGTGTGTGTGCGCACTTGGATGGGTTAAATGCCCTGGGGTTCTGTATTTGGCCAGTTGAACCTTTTACCAAAAAGTGGTTCTATGTAAAACCCTTGGAGAACAAAGAACCTTTTTTGTTCAAATGGTCCTATAATTCATGAGTTATGACTGAAGTGTAAACTAAAGATTACACCATAATTATAGTGAAAGTGACGTGACATATACTCTGAATTAGTGCTCTGCATTTATCCCATCCAAAGTGAACACACAGCAGTGAACACACATATCCTGAGCAGTGGGCAGCCATTTTTTGCTGCGGCGCCCGGGAAGCAGTTGATTCAGTGCCTTGCTCAAGGGCACCTCAGTCGTGGTATTGAAGGTGGGAGAGAGCGCTGTACATTCACTCCCCCCACCTACAATCCCTGCCGGTATGAGACTCAAACCCGCAACCTTGGGGTACGAGTCCGACTCTCTAACCATTAGGCCATGACTTTCCCCAGGCCTACACAACACGTTCACAAAGCTTTTTGAGTCAAGACTCAAATGACTGCTGTAGTCAAATACATTATAAGACGTTTCTTACATTTACAGAATAAAAGAAATGACAGGAGCAGGTACTGTGTTCAGAGTGAACGTGTGTGTGTGTGTGTGATCCTGCAGAACATTCCTCTTATCTGTTAACAATGAGTTTGTTTTTCTTTAGTGCTTTATCTTCATCATTATTATTTTCATTTTTAATATAGGTAAATACCCTTTGTCCATTTAAACTATGCTTTATAATTCTTCTACACATAATATATAGCATAGAGATATATTCACCATACAGTATGTTTTCATAGCATTCATTGGCACGTTTGTTTGAAGGACAGCATTGGGCAGGATGTAGAATAGTGTGTTTTGTCAATTTAAAAAAAAAAGAGCCTTTTTAATCTGTGACATATCGGCTGCCTCCCCCTAATTATCATCATCACCCCATCCCTTAATCGCCGCCCTTCACCAGGCTCCCGACAGGAGTGGGTGTGTGTGAGAGAGGCGGGGCGCAGAAACAGCCAGGTCTGGCGGCGTGTGATGAGGCACACCCGAAGTTAATGGAGCCTCGTCACCGCCGCTGTTAAAAGCCGAGCGCCTCTCCTCGAGAGATCGGTCTCTTCCCCCTTTGCATGCATGATGGTGTCCTTGTGGGTCCAGGAGGGGAGTGTAGAGGGAGTCCTGCGCAGCCAGAGACGCGAGCTGCCGGACCCGCTGTCCGGAATGGAATCACACCCGTGACGCGGTCGACGGGCCAGGAAGCCGGGCCGTTATTCCCCTCAAGTGCCGTGGGCCAGCCGCCCTTCACCAGGCTCCCGACAGGAGTGGGTGTGTGTGAGAGAGGCGGGGCGCAGAAACAGCCAGGTCTGGCGGCGTGTGATGAGGCACACCCGAAGTTAATGGAGCCTCGTCACCGCCGCTGTTAAAAGCCGAGCGCCTCTCCTCGAGAGATCGGTCTCTTCCCCCTTTGCATGCATGATGGTGTCCTTGTGGGTCCAGGAGGGGAGTGTAGAGGGAGTCCTGCGCAGCCAGAGACGCGAGCTGCCGGACCCGCTGTCCGGAATGGAATCACACCCGTGACGCGGTCGACGGGCCAGGAAGCCGGGCCGTTATTCCCCTCAAGTGCCGTGGGCCAGAGAAGATGAGCTGCTGTGACGAAGCCGCCGCCCCCCGCGCCCCGGACCAGAGAGGAGAGCGCGTGTGGCTGCCGGACTCCGCCCCTACCTGGACCCCTCCTTTCTGAACACTGCCCTTCCTTCACAATTCCCCGGCACAACGAGGACACCAGATCCCCTGTTTATTTTAGACACTATTTCCCCTCAAAACACGTTATTCCCTGTTTTGGACATTTTATGTTTATTTTCTCTTAAATAAAAGCCTCTCCCGAGGTCTGACGCCACACCCACTGTGTCTGTCGTTTGCTCCTCCTGATTAATGGAAAAACCGATTAATGGAAAAAAATAATCCGCCAACTAATCGATTATCAAAATAATCGTTAGTTGCAGCCCTAGTCAGAAAAAACCTCCTGCGTGGTTGTGAAGTTAGAATGGGCACTTTTGAGCTGTACTGATCTATCTGGTGAGACATAAGCTAGCATACACTTGCTGCATGTCTCATAAAACATTCAAAAATGTCAACATCTTGGAGTAAGAGAATGGCAGACGTGGATAAATTTGAAAAGCTTGAAGACGCAAAAAATAACTCAATTCGGTCCGGTTTTCACACACCCGAAACACGCACACAAAAAAGAGCCTCTCATTGGGGATGGGCGTATCGATCCTGAAGTGTCGATATATCGATACTGATTGCCAGGGGCGCCGCTGGGGGGGTGAGTTAGGATGATTCTAAGGGCCCACGCACTTTTGGGGCCCCCAGAGATCTGTATTATTAGTAGTAACAGTAGTAGTAATGTAATAGAAATTATAAATGTAGCTACCAAAGAGTTACAAATAAAACAAAATTACGGCTTATTTCTGCATTTCCAGCAAAATTATCCCCCCCACCCCCATTCACTGCATGGTTTCGTCCCATCCTACGTAGCCTAGAGTCACGAGTGAGATCAGATGGTAAACTGTCAAATTAGAATAGAGATGTCATCGAGTTCGAGGGAGGCAAACCGAGCCAGACGATTTGGTCAGTCGCACTTTTAAACACATTTTAGTTTTGCTATATAAAATCTACAAATTCACAATCTGATTACGTAGAACAGCAGCAGGAATCGTGTGAGGCTGTCATGGCAACCAGATAACACTGCACGCGAATTACGGCTGCGCTTCTATTTTGCCACACTAAACTTAGCAATAAACACGTTGAAAATAATGCACAAGGAACATGTCTGTCAAAATTATCTCAAAGGAGGCTTTTATTAAGCAAATCAATGAGTGAATTACTCATTCACTGTTTAAAAAAAATACTTAAGCTGGGTTTCCACAGGCAGGGTCACAATTATCTACAGTGTATGAAGCTAAAGGTTTTTGGGTTAAGTTAATGTAGAACATTTTTAACATTGTATGCTGTATGTGCATAGGTAGCTAGCAAACAAGGAATACAGCTGTTAAGCTAATAGTCACATTTAGCTGAGTAAGATCATTTACATTTTAGTCATTTAGCATTCATTTTTATCCAAATTAAGCGACTTACAGGACAATGGACGCAATCAAAATCAACAAAAGAGCAATGATATAGAAATCATGATCAGATCATGATTGAGAAATGTTGGATACTGCTGGAAATGCTGGTGTTATGAGGTATCCTATTTATTATTTTAGGATTTTTTTTGTTCGCCCCAGTGAAGCATTTCTATTAATATAACTGATTAATTATTCAAACTCATTCCATATCAGCAGAATAGTGTGGTACAGAAAGTCTATGTCCATAAAACCGGTTCTGAATGAATTATGTTACTGATACCTAATGGTCAAAAGCAATAGCAAAAGTAATAGGTCTATATTATTAAATTGCAGACAGATTTTGAATAGCTAGGCTGGCTTGTACACTATATTGCCAAAAGTATTGGGACACCCCCTTCTAATGAACAGGTTTGACTACTTTAGTAATTTCAATGAGTACAAATCTTAATGTTAAAGCATATCATGCTATTCTAGGGAATTGTGTGCTTCTAATTTTATACCAATAGTTTGAACAGGACCCTTTTCTATTCTAGCACGACAATGCCTCTGTGTATAAGGCAAGGTTAAGAAAAAAGATTGATTCAGTCAGTGTGGAAGAACTTGACTGGTCTGCAGAAAGCCACAGTCCTAATCCCAGCTGAACACCTCTGGTGTGACTTTAAATGCAGACCTTGAGCCAAAAACTCATCACCAAACACCTGTGACTTGTACATACATATGGACAAATGTATTGGGACACCCCCTTCTTTAGAACATGTATGTATTTAAAAATTGTATTTCTATCTTTTTTGCCACAGTTTTGGAAGTGTCTAAAATGATTGTACGCATATGTACAAGTCATTGGTGTTTGGCGATGAGTTTTATTGAGTTTTCCCAATACTTTGGGCAATATAGTGTATGTTTGGTGCGG